CTCATAGACGTATAAAGAACAGTCCACCCGACAATGGCACAATATATATATTCTTTTTCAGCCCACATGGAACATTCTCCAGAATATATTAAACCACAAAGCAAGCTTCAATGCATTCAAAAACATTGAAATTCTACAAAGCATCTTCTCAGATCACAATGCTACAAAATTAGAAATCAATAGCAGAAAGAACAAGGAAAAAAATAAAATACATAGAAACTGAATAAGACTCTGCTTAAAAACTACTGGGGAATAAAAAATAAAAAGAAATATTATTCATTTTTATCAGTGTAACAAAACCTCAAAAAAAATTATTCTAAATTACATCTCTAAAAGAAACTTAAAATGTGTGCAGAAGATAGGGTTATGAAAGTGTAATAATTTCCTACCTCTGATGTTATTATCAGATTGTATTATAATATTTCCTTCAAAGAGGTTTATTCTGTTTGAGTCAAGGGATTTTTTATTTCATTTTTTTAATTTATTTTATTACTGGGTATTTACTTCTATTACTGAGTTATAGAAGAAATTTAAAAATGAAATAAAAAATCCCTTGACTCAAACAGAATAAAGCTCTTTAAAGGAAATATTATAATATAATCTGAAAACAGCAGAAGTAGGAAATTATTACACTTTCATAATTCTATCTTCTGTACACATTTAACATTTCTTTTAGAGAAGTAATTTAGAACAATTTTTTTCTTTTCTTTTTTTTAGGTTTTGTTATACCGATAAAAATAAGCTATATATATATATATATTTTTTTTTTTTCCCAGTCTACTTTTCAAATGAGCCAATTTATACAGAACATCTCCAAGTTACTGAAATACTCAGATCATCCTCAGGGTATCATGCCATTTAGAATGACAGGTACACATAGGAAGCCATTTTTCTGGAAGAGGATAGAGCTTAGACTTAAAACTACTCCATGAAAGTTTTCAGAGTTAGTTATGGTCTCTATCCTGATGGCAGACAGAGAAAATAAAAATAAAATAGACACAATCTTGTTGATCAGAGCCAAGCTCTCAGGACAAATTTAACAAATTGAGATAAAGGATAACCACAAAGTAACAATATGTGGAGCCAGTTCAAACAACAGGCTTATAAGGTCTATGATTGTGATTTCCTACCTTAAGATTTTCCTTTTAGTGATAATCAACAACAGCATAACACTCTTAAAATGGCACCATACAAACAAGGCAACAGAGAAACACATACACACAAAAAAGTAGATACTTTAATTCTAAGCTCTTTTTATTAAGGTCAACCCATTTATATAGAAAGGAAAACAGGTTCTAGTCCAGGCCCATAATTTTATTAACTTGTTAGAGCATTAGATGGAGGGATCGTAGACTTTGCTGACTGCTAAACCCATTTTAAAAACTACCCAAGGCCTCTGTTGAACCACCTGACTTCCTTTATTAGATTCAGTCTGTTTTCCCTTAGGCCTAGTATAAAGAGAGTATTCAAATAACACAAAATAGACTTACCAAGAAAGGATGTCCAAAACTGCTCAGATGTAAATACAGGGAGTTCAACATAAAAGGAATGAAACTTGAACCCAGGAGAGAGTCACCAAGTTCCTCTGCCATGGTGAAGTAACAACTGGGGCCTTGTGGGTGCCTTTATATGACTTCTCACAAAAACAGTGGAGGAACCTCAGTGATCATCTTTGGATCTTGCTTTTAACACCAAAAACTGTTGAAAAATAATCAAAATTCAAGGAAATTGAAACACCGTGTTTGTTTTGAGCACTTAGTCTATATGCATGTAGGAGACCATTCTGATATTGGAAAAACAAGCAAATACTGTTTAATGTAGGCTAGTGTGGGAGTTCTGGTAGCATAGTAGCTAAAGCACTTGACTGCTCACCAGAAGGCTGGCGGTTCAAACCCACCAGCCACTCCTCGGAAGGAAGGTTGGGCAATCCTACTTCCGTAGTGATACTGCCTCGGAAACCCAAGGAGGGGTCGCTATGAGTCGGGGCCGACTCGACGGCACATAACAACAACAACAACAAGTGTGATAGTTGGAGTTGTGTGTCAACTCGGCTTGACCACAATTCTGTGTGGTTTAAGCAGTTGTGATGTGGTTATCCCCATGATGGGATCAGATGAACATGTTTTAAACAGCCAATCCGTGGAGATTTAGTTTTCTTAGGGGTGTGGCTTGCTTCCAGTATATTTGTGGACATCCTGGGAAAAGAGACATTCTTCTGTGGATTGGGATTCTCTTGTGTTGCCTACAATAGTCCGTGAGCAACAATCCAGCATTCGGCCTGGAGATCTTGGATTCGTCATTCATTGGAGTCAACAGCAGGTATATACTGCCTGCCAACCTTGAGCTCCTCGGCCCCTGCAGCTGCAAGAGTCAGGAAAAGCCTCCAACTTGACATTTGATCTAAGAACTTTGGACTTGCCAGCTTCTATAAGTGCGTGAGCCATTTTCCTAAGATAAATTTCTTTCTCTCTCTCTCTCTGTAAGTTTTACTGGTTTTGTTTCTCTAGAGAACCCAGTCTAACACAGCTAGTTACAATGAATATATAAAGAGAAAAGGAAAGAGAGAATAAAAAAAATTAACCATTGACTAATTTTAATGTAGGAGCTCTGGTAGCATATTGCCTAAGGCATTTGACTGCTAACAAGAAGACTGGCAGTTCAAAACCACTAGCCACTCCTCAGAAGGAAAATTGGGCAATCTACTTGTGTAGTAATACCGCCTTGGAAACCCAAGGAGGAGTCTCTATGAGTCAGATCCAACTTGATAGCAGTGAGTAATTTTAATGCTATTGATTAGACCTTACCCCCGTTACTGAGATCAGCTGATATCAGGTTCCTACATGATATCCAGACTGGCTGCTGTCTCCCCCATTCATTTGCACAAATCTTTAAGTGTAGTGCAGAAGTTTTAAAATGATAAAAGATACCCTTCTCAAAGAAAGCAAGTGAAATTACCTAAAATTACATTGCTATTCTTTTTATTATATAAACTTAACTAGGTTGTGGTTAACAAATGTCTTTGTCACAAAATGGTTCATAAATGTTTGATCACTTTGTTAAACGTGGCCTCAGTTTCCTTATTATTAACACTTCTTAAACTAAGGGGAAAATAAAACAAGTTAATAGTTTTACAATTTTGGAGATCAGATTTTACTGTTAATTTTTAGTTTTATGAATCAGAAAAATTCCTTAAAAGTGAGATGTATGCTTTTAGTTTTTTTCACCCATCCCATCCTGGAAGATATAGGAAAGGAGAACAAAATAAGGGATTCATGTCTGACAAGGAAAAGGAGCTTCAAGTACCCTGAAGGACGATATTCTAGGACAGATCTCAACAGGAAGTGGCATATTTCCTAAGGCATTTGACTACTAACCAGAAGGATGGTGGTTCAAACCCACCAGCCACTCCTTGGAAGGAAGACTGGGCAATCTACTTCCATAGAAATACTGCCTTGGAAACCCAAGGAGGGGTCACTATGAGTTAGGAATGACTTGATGGCAGTGAGTTTGGGTTTCTTTCAGGGACATTTATAAGGTTGCTATGACTCAAAATTGATTCCATGGCAATGGCTTAGGGACATGTAGCAATCTCTGGAGAAAATTGTGAGCTGCTGTATCAGACGTGTGTGTGTGCGTTGGGAGGGTGGTTTCTACTGACATCTAGAACTCCCCAGTGGAGGGGAGGGATGCTCCTAAATATTCTACAATGCAAGGACAGTCTCCTACAACAAAAGATTAACTGACCCAAACTGTTAATAGTGGGAAAAACAAAAGCAAATACTGTTTAAAACCCCATTCTAGGCTCTAAACGTTTGTGTAAGGAAAAATACAAATTGAAAATAAGAGGCTTGATGGGAAGAACTAAGATGGCATCCTAGTGATGCTCTGCCCAATTCCTCTACCATAAAGACCCAAAAAAACAAGTGAAACAGATACAGATGATCCTGAAACTCTGAGTATCAAATGAGGAGATAAAGAATTGGATTGAATGCCGATTGGAAAGGGAGATGGAGCAAGGACAGAGATGAGGGAGAAAGAAGAAATTACAGCCCAACAATGTGTGGATATTTTGAGTCACAGGAGGCATCCAAAACCACACATGGTTTTGGAGAGACAAGTTTCGTGGGATCCACATTGGGATAGAGACACAATGTGGAAAGATCTGGAATCAAATAAGATGAGCAGAATATGTCCTGAATCTGGGAGAGGAAAGTGTACGGAAACAGGCAAGAATTCCAGAGGCAAAGGCAACCACAGAAGAAGGAGGGAGCCAGTGAAAGATAAAACTACTGAGCCCTAGTGGTTTGCGTTAAGGGTCCATGCAAAGAGGAAGGCTTCTGGGCTGGCAGTTGGAAATAATAGATTCCAGGTGGTCCCTAACTTGTTTGAGTCTGGGCAGAAACTGGATAATCATCTGCACTCTCCTAGAAGTACACTAGGCCCACACCCATGAACTACAGCTGGAGAGGTGCTTCCTCTTCATTTCCCCACCATACCTTCCCATAGATGAGGGGTAAGCCCCGCTCTTGCCCCTACCAATCCAGTGGCTATAGATCCACCATGCTTCCCTGCTCATCTAGTTTTCTTGGGCCTCCTCCCTCTACCAGCAGCCACTAGCTGTGACATCACCAAGCAGAGCAAGCTGAGCATCTGTACCCTCTGCACACCCAGTGCCCCTGTGATTGACAAGTTGCATTCTTACTGAATGCTAGACATGCCCCTGTGGCCTCCACAGTTGGAGGTACATGCCAAGCTCCTGTCCCCACTGTGGGAAACAACTCCAACAGATCACATGACAGCCACCTGTTGCCACTGTTGCTGGCCAACCATAACTATACCAGTTCCTTTCTTTTCTTTGTTATCTCTTTTTTTCCTTTTCATTTTCCCACTTTTTCTTCCTGTTTTTTAAGTTTATTTTTGCCTTCCTCCTCTTCTTTTATTTTACCTATCTTTTTTCTCTCCTTCCTTTTTATTCTCTTTTATCCTGTCACATCCAACAGGAGGTGGACAATATATTCCCACTAGTCAGCCATACCTACCACCTACTGCCCTACTCAGCAGACAAGCACTGCCACCCATTCCGGTACCACAGGAGCAACAAGAAGGTGGACAACACCAGATCATCCCACCTGCAGCTCATGTTCACATTCAGCAAACAGAGATCCACATCTACATTCTTATCAGTTACTCCACATACCTAGATAAAGCAGACAAGTGATAGTAAAACAATGATCAAAGAAGCGTGCCTACCCTGCTCACCCAGATATATCAAAACAAAGCAAAACACAAAATTAGGGTGAAAAAATCCAACACATAATCAACAAATAAATACAGCAACTCCAAAACATCTCAGAGACAACAGAAATCTTCAAATCAAACAAAGAAACAGGACAAAATAGTGCAAACAAGTGACCAAAATCAAGAACCAGGAAATATTGTCAAAGAAGAACACATAATAGAACTACCTGATAAGGAATTTATATCTATATCTATCTATCTATAGCTGTATCTATATCTCTCCTTCCAAGAACTCAAGGAAACCACAAACAAAATCAAGGAAAACACAGAAAATACTCTAGAAGAATTCAGGAAAGAATAGCAAAATACCAAATAAACTGACAATTAGAAGTTCAGAAAATCAACACTACATGAATAGATAACAGATTGGAAGGACAAAAGAGTGGAATTGAGTCAATTGAAGAATGGATCAGTGAATTAGAAGGCAAATCTTTTGACACCAATTTTTATGAGGAAAAATCAGAAAGAAGAATGAAGAAAAATGAAGAAAGCCTAAGAATTATGTGACTATTATCAAGAAGAAAAATTTATGTAAGCTTGTTATTGTAGAACAGGAAGAAGCAAAAACAACAACAAAAAAAAATTTCAAACCCTTGTTAGTATAAAACTTCCCTAATATTATGAAAAAGAAAAGATTTCCATCCAAGGAGCTCAACAAATCTCATAGACTCTAAAAGAGAGTCACCAGGATATATCATACTCAAATTTTCCAAAACAAAAGACAAAGAAAAAATATTGAGAGCAGTTTCAGAAAAATGAAATGTTACCTCCAAAAGTAATCAATAATATTAAGCTCTAATTTCTCAGCATAAACCATGCAGGCATGAAGGCAATAGGATAACTTATTTCGACCTTGAAAGAAAGAAAAATTGCCAGCCAAGAATTATATGCTCAACAAAACTGTGCCTAAATATAATGATGAAAATAGGACATTTCCAGATAAACAGAAATAAAGGGAATTTGTGAAAAATCAAACCAATCTTACGAGAAATATTCACAGGAGACCATTGAACAGAGAAACAGTAACAAATACCTGAGATTAAGACACAAGAAAATATCACTCAGAAGCCAACACAGAAAAATATCTCAAAATTAAAATAAGCTTTCAAGACTGTAAATAGGAAACCAGAGACATCACTTTGTAAACAACAGCAAATATAAACCAAAAAGAGGGAATAAATGGTATAATTACAAACTTCCAAATGGAGAGGAAGTCAAGATGATGTCAAAATAGAACAACCTGTTTCAAACTTGTTTTTGTTGTTAAGTGCCATTGAGTTATCTACAACTCATAGCAATCCTATGTACAACAGAACAAAACACTGCCCGGTCCTGTGCTGACTTCACAATCCTTCCCATACCTGAGCCCATTGCTGCAGCCAGTGTGTCAATCCATTTTCTTGAAGGCCTTCTCCTTTTTCATTGACAGTTCTCTTTACCAAGCATGATATCCTTCTCCAGGGAATGGTCTCTTCTTACAACATGACAAAAGTAGGTGAGATGAAATCTGGCCATTCTTGCTTCCAAGAGCATTCTGGCTGCACTTCTTCCAGAACAGATTTGTTACTACTTTTGGCAGTCCTTGGTACTTTCAATATTCTTCACCAACACCACAACTCAAAAGTGTCAACTCATCTTTGTCTTCCTTATTTGTTGTCCAGCTCTCACATGCATATGAGGCAATTGAAAATACCATGGCTTGGGTTATGTGCACCTTAGTCTTCAAAAAGACATCTTTCCTTTTCAGAACTTTAAAGAGGTCTTTTGCAGCAGATTTGCCCAGTACAACACATCTTCTGATGTCTTGACTTCTGCTTCCATTTGTGTTGGTTGTGGAATCAAGTAATATGAAATCTTTGATTTCAATAGTTTCTCCATTACTGTGATGCTGATTATTGGTCCAATTGTGAGGATTTTCATTTTCTGTATGTTGAGGTGTAACCCAAAGTGTACTCTTCATCTACAGTAAGTGCTTTAAGTCCTCCTCACTTTCAGCATGCAAAGTTGTATCATCTGCGTATTACAGGTTGTTAAAAATGAGTCTTCCTCCAGTGCTGATGCCACATTTTTCTTCATATAGTCCAGCATCTCAGATTATTTGGTCAGCACACAGATTGAATAAGTATGATGAAATGATATAACCCTGATGCAGTCCCTTCTTGATTTTAAACCATGCAGTGTTCCCTTGTTCTGTTCAAACAACAGCCTACTGGTCTATGTACAGGTTCCTCATGAGTACAATTAAGTGTTCTGGAATTCCCATTCTTCTCAATATTATCCATAATTTGTCATGATCCACATAATCAAATGCTTTTCCATAGTCAATAAAACACAGGTTAACAATTTCTGGTATTCTTTGCTTTCAACCAAGATCCATCTGACATCAGCTATGATATCCCACATCCTCTTCTGAATCCAGCTTGCATTTCTGGAAGTTCTCTGTTAATATACTGCCTCAACAGTTTTGGAATTGTGCTAAGTAAGATTTTACTTGCTTCTGATATTAATGAGATTGTTCGATAATTTCCACATTCTGTGGGCTCACCTTTCTTTGGAATGGGTAAAAATATGGATCTCTTCCAGTCAGTTGGTCAGGTAGTTGTCTTTCAAATTTCTTGGCATGGATGAGTGAGTGCCTCCAGCATGGCATCTGTTTGTTGAAACATCTTAGTGGGTATTCCATCAATTCCAGAGCCTTGATTTTGCCAATTCCTTCAGTGCGTCTTTGACTTCTTGCTTCAATACATTGGCTCTTGATCTTATATCATCTCTGAAATGGATGAACAGTGACCATTTCAGTACAGTGACTCTGTGTATTCCTTCCATCTTCTTTTGATGTTTCCTGTATCATTTAATATTTTGCCCATAGAATCTTTCCAATATTGCAACTTGAGGCTTGAATTTTTCTTCAGTTCTTCAGCTTGAGAAATGCTGAGTGTGTTCTTCCCTTTTGGTTTTCTAACTACAGGCCTTCACATATTTCATTATAATAATTGACTTTATCTTCTTGAGCTGCTCTTTGAAATCTTCTGTTCAGCTCTTTTGTCCTGTCATTTCTTCCATTTGCTTTTGTTACTCTCTGTTCAAGGACAAGTTTCAGAGTATCCTCTGACATCCATTTTGGTCTTTTCTTCCTTTCCTGTCTTCTTAATGATCTTTTGCTTTCTTCATGGATGATGTTCTTGATGTCATTCCACAGTTCCTCTGGTTTTTGGTCATTGGTATTCAATGCATCAAATCTATTCTTTAGATGGTCTCTAAATTCAAGTGGGATATAATGAAGGTGGACTTCTTTTAATTGTCTTCAGCTTCAACTTGAACTTGCATATGAGTAGTTGGTGGTCTGTCCCACAGTCAGCTCCTGGCCTTGTTTTGGCTGAAGATATTGAGCTTCTTCATTGCCTCTTTCAATAGATGTAGTTGATCTGATTCCTGTGTACTCCATCTGGCAATCTCCATGTGTATAGCCACTGTTTGTGTTGTTGGAAAAAGGTATTTGTGATGAATAAGTCATTGGTCTTACAAAATTCTATCATGCAATCTCCAGCATTATTTCTATCACCAAGCTCATACTTTCCAACTATTGGTGATTCTTCTTTGTTTCCAACTTTTGCATTCCAATCACCAGTGATAATCAACACATCTTGATTGCATGTTTGGTTAATTTCAGACTACAGAAATCAGTAAAAATCTTTAATTTCCTCATCTTTGGCTTTACTGGTTGGTGCATAAATTTGAGTAATAGTAATAGTAACGGGTATTCCTTTTAGACATATGGATATTATCCTATCACTGACAGCATTGTACTTCAGGATAGATCTTGATACATTGTTTTTGATGATGAATGTCTTGCCATTCTTTTTCAATTTGTCATTCCTGGCATAGTAGATCATATGATTGTATGATTCAAAATGACCAAAACCAGTCCATTTCAGCTCAATAACGCCTAGGAGATCGATCTTTATGCATTCCATTTCATTTTTGACAACTTCCAATTATCCTAGATTTATACTTCATACATTCCATGTTCTGATTATTAATGGATGTTTCCAGCTGTTTCTTCTCATCTTGCGATGTGCCCCATCAGCAAATGGGAGTACCAAAAGCTTTACTCTATCCACATCATTAAGGTTGGCTGTGCTCTGAGGAGGCAGCTCTTTCCAGTCATATTTTGAGTGCCTTCCATCCTGAGGGGATCATCTTCCAGCACTATGTCACACAATGTTTCAGAACTATTCAGAACGTTTTCCATTAATATATCAGGCAGTGTTTCACTGCTATTCATAAGGTTTTCACTCAAAGAATTTCTTAATTCTTTGAGAAGTGGATGGCCTCTTGCTTCTTCTGAATCTGTCTTAGTCTGGAAGCTCCACTGGATTTTGTCCATCATGGGTGACCCTGCTGGCATTTGAAACACCAGTGGCATAGCCTCCAGCTTCACAGCAGCACTCAAGCCACCACAGTACGACAAACTGACAGAAAAGTTTGTCTCCCTTAGTTGTTCCAAAATGCTCTGCTCATTTCCTGGTCTCCCTAACCCTGCTCTCTTACCTGGCTTACCCCTAGGGCACATACACCCACCTTCTGCTGGTCCAGGGGCTGTCTTACTGTCTTACCTGCCCCTGAGGTGGCTCCCTGCATACAAGAAATACCTGCCTTCCACTGGTCCTGGGGCTGAAAATGTTGTAGACAAATTTATGGCAACACACTACTTACCCACAGACACAGACTGAGGTAAAAAATTTCAACAGACCAATAATGAAAAAAAAAAAGTGAAGATGTCATAACAATTCCCAACAACAACAACAAAAATCCTGGCCCAGATGGCTTCACTGGAGAACTCTACCATACATTTAGAGAAGAACTGACAATAATTCTACTTAAAGTATTTCAGAACATAGAAAAAGATGTAATACTGCT